ATTTCTTATCATCCGTGAGAACACCCATCCTTTTTGTTCCTTTAAATATTCTTCCATCTCCCTATGGATACGACACCCCAAAGTTACACTACAACTACCGCGTTATTCTTTGGGCGTAATCAAAAATCTTGTGACGTTCTGCTTCGGCCATGGCTAAATTCTGCTGCTCAATTGAAACAGAGCATCGGACCTTAAATCAAGGATAACTCCGCCAAGCCAGGGGGTATTTCTTTTTTCTCTCTAGTTTATCTTCTGTTTAAAAATTTAACGTGTCTTGGACAAATTAATTATGCTTCTTTTGTGAAACTCGACAAGGAGATTCAAATCAAAAGTAGAAGATTATTTATTAGTGAGCGAAAGACTGAAGTTTTCTTGTTCATTAGTTAGTTCTTATGCAGCCTGAAAATACTCGGAACCTAAAATAACCTTTACATACTTAGAAGCGAATTTTCTCAACTCCCTCAATTTTCATGTTACTCAACATCACTCCTATTCGCTCAAAGACTGACTTTACAGGTCGAATTAATTTTTATATATCTTTCTTAGCTGGTTTGAAGAAGTAAAATAGCCAAGAGTAATATTTATTGCATGACATCATTTGGGTTTGTGCTACTAATAATTGGCAGGTCGTCTTCATTTTTATTAGAAGAATGCTATTCATCCCCACTGGGGTTGAACCCCAATTTATGTGACAATTACATGACATTAAATGATAGACTTAATTAAATGAGTCATGTGACTTTGTATTTAAATGAACCTATCATTTAATGTCATGTAATTGCCATATAGACTGTGCTCAACCCCAGTGTGGATGAATATCATTACTCTTTTTATTATTATATATGAACGTAGACATGACACGCAAGGCCAAATTAATTCGTTTAATAACTATTGAAAACCATCGAAGAATATTTAATTTATCAGATGATTCTTGCTGCTGCATCTCAAGAGATTGAAGAGAAAAAAATAGCCCAAACTACATTATCAAAATGTTAATACAGAGAATACGTGGAACTATTTGATAATGGGAAATTTCTAGATAATGTTATTAATTGCTTAAATAAACAATTACAAAAATAAATAGTTGCTAAAAATGAGGAAATTGTTTAGAAACCACTGAATGGCATCAAACTGTGTGAATCTTTCGAGGAAATGAGTCTAATGATGGTATGGTGTTGTTATTAGTACTTGTGCATGTGTAGTCATCATCCGAGAGCAATATTGATTTGGACTTGTGCAGTTGTCCACCCTGATTTTTAGTTTCAGAAGTAGTCGAGAGGGTTTGAGACATTCTAACACACTCTAATTCCATGGCTACTTCTTTCATTGTTGGCCTTTTCTTTCCATTCAAATTTA